ATGTTGATTACAGGGATAAGCGGAAGGAGATATTCCAAGGACTCGGTTCAATGGTTCAAGAATTTCTTGGCTTCTTAGAAGTCCGAGTATCCGAAAGAAGGTTAATGTTACAGTTTGATGCTTTTTCTTTTGTTGTCGTAGTAACCTACGTAGTCTGATACTTTACTCGAGTCTATGCCTTACCTAGTTATTATTATTATTTTAGTACAACAAATGTGGCGCACAAGAAAGAACGAATGTATATCAATTATGGTTGAACTATGTTTATGTTGACATATTTTATTTACTAGATGACGTTTGTACTATCGAGCATGCATGTGAGAATGTATATCACTATACCTCAACGACACAGTTTCCACGTGATCATATTAGGGACACAGGAAGACACAATAAATGAGAGTTAAATTATAAGTTTAGTCTAGATTTTGACGTTTGCATCTATCGAGTCTATAAACTATTCTTTTGTATTTAATAAATTTGTGAATTTAAAAATATCAAAATTGAAAGACTGAATGGTTTTTTTAAAAATATTTATTTATTTTTAAACTAATTTGAAAAATTCTTAATTTATGTGGCAATGATTCTATGGTAATGGGCTTAGCCCAAGTTTAAAAGCCCAAAAAGAGGCCCATGTTCATTAAATTAATTTGAATTTATAGAGAATATTAGGTTTTGTCTTTTGACTTATTAATATTAAATTAATCGAACTTTCGGTTATATTTATTTGGTCTATAAAATTTTAAAACTGTCTAATAGATTCCTGAACTTTCTAATAGATCTCTATGTATTTATTTTAAAAATAATAATAATCTATTAAAAATTCTATACTATATTAAAAAATTTAAAGGAAACTATATTTATTTATTATTATTATTTTTATTTATTTAGGGGTTTAAAAAGTCATGATAATAAGCGAAGGGAGATATTTTGTCTGTGGGCAATGGGCATTGGTCTGTTGCTTTCCCTCCACTTACCAAAAGTTGAAAATCTCCAAAATCTCTTGAATTGACAATGTGGGCCCGTCCTTATAATACAACACGTGTCCTTGAATGCCTTTAGGTAGGCCCCACCAAATTTTAATATAAATGTCAACTAGAGTTTAGGTTAGGGTTAGGGTAGGGCACTCTCCGCCATGGTTTAGTTTTATATCTATCTCTAGTTCGTTCATTTACGCTCGTAACTATTTGTAACAGCTCATCTCCACCGCTAGTAAATATTGTCTTTTTAGAGGTTTTAAAATATATTTGATCAGTAGAGATTTCCACACTCTTATAAGAAATGTTTTGTTCTCTCTCCAATTGATATGAGATCTCACACTATTGAACCAAAATAAAATTATTTTCGCTCTCTGATATCTCATTACCGTAGAAGGAAAAAAAAATCGAGGACAAGGTTGTAATTATTCGGTATAAATTTTGCAACGATAGGGTTTTGGGTGAGAGATTTTTCTCAATTATCGTAGGTAAAACTTGCTAAAAATTCTATTTTTGTGAGATTCTAAAACATTTAGAGTCCGTTTGTTTGGGTAAAAATGGAAAAAGGAAAGTAGGTCATACGTCGTGGTAGGTTTTTAGGTAAGAGGACAAGTGAGGAAGGAACAACTCGACATTGTAATTAATGAGAGACGTTTTTTGAAGCTATAGCAAAATATGAAATATATAGTAAGAGAGCTTTTTGAACCGAATAAGGTACGCTTTATTCAATTTTTAAAAATAATTTTAATTTTTTTTTTAAATGACTTAAAATTACACGACCAAGAGATATAAGAATACAAGGGTACGTAGAATTAAAATTATTATGATTATATATATTTAAAATTTAATTTAATTTCAATTATATTTATATATTTTGAATTAGAATTATATATATATATATATAATATGGAGGAAGGAAATGGTTGGTTGGGTTGGTAGTGTAAAAAGCAAATGTTTGGGGTGTGGGGGTGAAAATGACATTTTTGCTTTAGAATCAAGTTAGCTCATTAATTAAATAATAATAATAATAATAAATAAATAAATAAAATAAAATAAAATCTTATTTAATTATGTCGGGATGATTTTTAATACGATTTTAAAATTTTTAAAATCACTCAATTATTGAAAAAAATCAATTTTAACAATATATATTCAAAATTGTGTTTATCCAAAGAAATTGATTTAAATATTATAAATTATAGAACTAATTACTTATTAATTATTAAATATTAAGTTGAATATAAACTATTATGAGCCTATTCAAAATTTCGTATAATTATTATTTTATAATATCGTATAATTTTTAATATATTATAGTATACATATTTTAATTTAACATTTTAAATTCTTAAATTCAAAATCTATATGCAAGGAAAACATTAAAAAAAATTATATTATTTATTAAAAAAATCGTTTTATATATTGAATGAAAATAAAAAAAAATTAATAAATTAAAAGTTTTATTGGTGGCCCCAAGATAAATTGATTTTTATTTAATTTTCAACAGTTTTCAATTATTAAATAATAATAATTTGGAACCCAAAACAACCCCTTAATAATTTTTCAACCACTCGTTAAGAGCTATATAAATCCTATGATCTATCTGCATTAATTAATTATATGTATTTTCTATTATTTTGTGTAAATACTATTTTTAAATTAATTATATTACAAGTAAATTACCAAATTGTCCTTATAGGGCGGGACCGAGACGCGAACCCTTCTCCATCTCCATTCCCTCCTTTTATTTCAATTTCTAAAATTTAAATTTTAATATTACAACGTTACAATAAATAAATAAATATATATATATATATAATACCACTTGTTACAATCGCACTTTTGATGGCAGTGAACTTGCGATTATGCGGCACTCACTTTCCAATGACAAGTGAGCTAAGTCAATTCGTTCTTGCGTCGCTTACGACCAAGTGACGTATGCTCGAGTCTCTGGTCTCGATTTTAAGAGAAGGTTTTAGAAAACGAGGGCAGAAAGATTTTCAAAAAAGAGATTTTTGAAAGAGACGTTATATAAGAAAGCAAGAGAGAAATAACAACGGCTCACAATATATAACCTTGGGTAGGGAAAAGTTGACAACTAGTCGTATCCCCCTATAGTACATTCTGAGGCATATCATGTCTGACAATATATATATAGATAGATATAGATAGATAGATAGATAGATAGATAAAGGTGAGATGTGGAAGCGGGGTCGGAGATAGAGAATATAATCCATCTTTATCTTGGACCACATGTAGCTAATGAGGAGATTCCCGGCAAGTTAAGTGTACGTCTCTATTTGGTATTGATACTCGTACTCCAAAGCAAAAAAAAAAATCGTTTTTTTAAACTTAACTCTAAACCTTGATACAATTAGATGATATAATCATCTAAATAGAAAAAATTCAATAAAATAAAATTTTAAAATTATAGTAAATTTAATATTTTATTCCTACTAATTTAAATCTTATTCAACATTAATGCAAATCATCGATAAGTACATATTAATTGATAACGATGGTAAGTCCTTTCGTTAATATATATATAAAATACTCGATGTATTAGTTACCGATGATAGGCGTAGTTGGGATAAATGTGGTCGTGTAAGTGCACGGGTTAAAACCCATCAGGTAAATTATATACGGAGTGAAATTTAGTCGAGGTGAGTAACAAATGAGTATGATAACTGATGTATTTGTAGCTACGAAGAAAGTCACTTCATACGGTTTATAGGATATGTATAGCCTTTAATGTGTCAACATCGTGACATCCAAAAGAGGACGTGCTAGCACTCACACGGACCAGTCACTGTCTAACGGGTCATCATGTTGTCACTATCATCTGGGTTTCAATCGATCTTGTGTAGTTGGATTGCACAATTAGACATTAGATGTCGTTCTCGGTATACAAGAGACTAGCTAAACCCTAAACCATGGTCGAATGATTACGTTCGGTTCATATAGTGCAAACTAAAAAAGATACGAGCGAACGTTAAAGATATCTATTTAACTTGTCGGGTTGAATCGAATGACTACATTTGATTAGCGTTGAGCAAACTAAAAACATATTTGAGATGCTCGAGATTCGATAATATATTATTGATTTTAAATTTTATTTATTTATTTCGATTTTCGATATAAAAGGATTGATTTATAAATAATACAAAAAAAAAAGGGAAACATTGCATTAAGTAAAATTAAATACAATGAGAGAGAAAGAAGAGAGAGAGAGGTTGGAAGTTTGCGTGGCGACGTAAATAAATTAATAAAATTAATAAAATAATTAATATTAAAAAAATAAAAGCGAATTAAAAAAATAAAAGGTAAATTACGTGATGGTGCAGAAAAACATGGCGTTCCTCTCTGTCGGAAAGCGGCATTATTTAACCTTTTTTTTTTGGGTAATTTTTTATTTTAAAAAATATTATTATAAATTTAATTAAAATTAAGTCATAAATTTAATTCATATTTAATTATTTTAAGCCGAAAATTCATAACCCTAATTAGTACGAGAATATCTTTTAATTATCCGTGTCTAACTAAATAATTTTCATACCCGTGAACTGAAAATTCATAACTCTAATTAGTACACGAATAACGTTTAATTTATCCGTGTTCATTTGAATAGTTTTTACCTACTACAAATTCTATACTGCTCGTGAACGGAAAATTCACAACCCTAATTGGTACGGGAATATAGTTTAATTTATCCGTGCCCAAAAAATTTCATAACCCTAATTAGTACAGTCCGTGTTTATTCGAATAGTCTTAATTAATCTGTTTTTTCTTTACGAGAATCGATAGAATCATTATAAGGTTTCGTTTATGATTAGAAGTATATGAACGAATGAAAAGTTGGGTAGAATATGAATTAAAATTTAATTAATATTCACTTTTGATACTTGGTGCTAATTTTTTTAATTAATTAGGATTAATTAAATAATTTAAAAAGGGAGGGAGAGTGGGGCCCACGCTCCTTCCATGTCCCCCTTCTAAGCTTCTCTTTCTCTGGATGGAACTGTATATTGAGGGGACATAGCTTTCGAAAACCTTTCAAAAAGTTCACAAAACTACGCGTCCTTTCCATTTCTGTAATCTGTAACGTACCATTCTCCACACAAACCCTAATTCTCTCCTCTGATTTCAGTTCCCCTCCGATTCCGATCATGGATCTTTCTCACAATCCTGATTCTCCGCCGAGTTTCTCCACCGCCGATTCCTCTACTGTTTGGACCAACGCACTCCCCTCCGCCGATTCTTTTTACTTCTTTCCCGCCGATAGAGATTCCGCCGTCCTCACAGAATTCGGCTGGAATTTCCTCTCCCACGATGCTCAACCTACTCGATTCCTCGACGACAAGCCTGATTTGCCTGGAACCTCCGCGCTGGCCGTCGATGAAACCGGCGGATTACAGAGTCCTGATGCTCCTGTTCCAGTCGCGTCGAATCCTTCAATGTCTTCCAGCTCTAGCGGAGAACCGCCGGAGAAACTGCCTGAGATTCCGTGAGTTCTGATCGATTAACAGTATCTTCATTACTTCATCATCGTTGTTTTCGTTCTGCAACTTTAATGGCGAGATTAACTTCTGCTTTCTCTCTCTTTGCCCTAAAATAAATTAAAATCGCAGAGTCTTCGAATTTTAGTGTAAAGTTAATCGGAATAACCGTTTTCGAATAATTTCATGCGGTTTTGGTTTCTGGTAATTTGCTGTATTTTGGTTTCGATTCGAGAAGAGCACACGAAATTAGGCGAGAGTGCAAGTACTCGTTGCTTGAAACCCCATCCTGCAAGTTGGGGAGGTAGTTTCGTAAATTCGATAAAAGCAGGGGCTATTGAATGTGAATACATTAAAATATAGGGACCGTTTTGCAGTTTTTAGAAACTAGTCCTCCAACATCGCCGTTATTGCGGCGGGAATGCCATTCCCCTTCTCTCTAATTCTTTTTTTGCGCTTCGTTAAATCTGTTAAATAAAAAAAAATAAGAAATATCTTTTATTTTTTTTTATTATTATTTTACTGCATGTACTTACCATGGATGATTTGATAATACTTAAATAAAAACATTTTATTTTAATTTTTCTCTCTTTCTGGTCCATCTGGGTCTGTCGTTACCTAATTCTTTGTGGGTTCTTTGAAATGATGGATCGTTTGCTCTTCTCTAATTACATCATAATCACTGAGTTAATGGTTTTTGTTTTGTGCTTAATGAAATGCACCTTGTTTTCCCCTTTTCCAATTTTATTATTATGTTACTAATTGCATATTTAGATTCTTTTGAGGCCGGTAAATTCGAACTTCTGGCTTTCGAATCGAGTTTGTTGTGATACCTCGAATTATAAGAAATTTATAATTCGAACATTTGGGTATTCGAGTTTAGTGTGAAATATTACATTGATGAGGGAAATACTATGTTTTAGAACAGAATTGGTTTGATTTTCAAGAATTTGCTTTTACTTCACAAATGTAGGTGAAATATTTTGTAGGCAGAAGGTCAAAAAGAAGGGGCAAAAGCGAATACGGCAGCCACGATTTGCATTCATGACTAAAAGCGAAGTTGATCATCTTGAAGACGGCTACCGCTGGAGGAAATATGGCCAAAAGGCTGTCAAGTACAGTCCATTTCCTAGGTAGGTAATCTATATGATCCTACTTCTGATTATATATATATATATATATATTGACATCTATTTTCTACCTATTTTGTTCTATACATAAATTCACATTTCCAAAAAAAAAACATACTCAATGATTATGTTAGGGTAACTTAGCCATAACTTCGGATCCACGGGTTATAACTCGAGGTTGAATGATATTATCTTAATCGACTAAGAAAGTGGGATGAAGATTAAAAAGCTTAATTTTATGTGTTTGTATTCATATATAACAAAGAAAGGTACATAAGTAGGTAGATACATACAAATTCATATGTCTCGTCTTTGTCAGATTAAACCATTACAAATTGATTACTATTTTCGTTAGCTTGTGAACGGAACTATTATATATAAGTTGTCTTAACTTGAGTTTAGTTTTCTAACTTTTTTTTCAATTTCATGTTTAATAAATTATTAAAATTTTGATTTTTTTTTTAATGTGTAATTTTAAGAGTTGATAAACACATATTTAGTCTAATAATATTCCATAACAAAGGGTGTAATTATTTCAGGAGTTACTATAGGTGCACGAACAGCAAATGCACAGTGAAGAAAAGGGTAGAACGGTCATCTGAAGATCCAAGCGTTGTGATAACAACATATGAAGGGCAACACTGTCATCACACCATTGGATTCCCTCGAGGTGGATTTAACATGGCGCACAAAGCTGCTTTTGGGTCTCAATTTTCATCTCAAGGCGCACAGATTTATTACCCTGAAACTCAGCCGCCGCCCAGAAACAATAATAATAATGACACTCCCACTGCCCGTGACCACCACTCACAGCACTTGTCCACTGCAGCAGCATCATCATCATCCAATGCGTTGTCGTTGGAGCAACAAGAACCAACAAACTCACAGCCTCAAGTTGCTTCCGACGAGGGCTTGCTAGGCGATATTGTGCCGCCCGGCATGATGCGTAGAACATGACCCACTACTACTCATCAACACACCAATTGTGGTATGAACTCCTTCACTTATCTCTATACATAAAATTATTTTTTTGATTGGCACGATATGGTTGATAATTTTACACCGTTGGATATAGAATTAAAATAGAGAAACAAAAATAATCATAGTTTCATCACATATCTACCGGTTTAAAAGAACAACCAGAGTGTGACCATCACATTGAATAATATTTCATGTATAGGGGAAGATGGGGTCTTTTTGTACGTAATTGGCCCAAAAAGCCAAATGGGGGATGGTTATATACATGTATGGTCGTTTCTATGCATGCTTGAATTTGTACATACCAGAACGGGTGTCGGTTATGTCTCCTATATTTTCATTCAACTCATTGGGGGAGCCTACCATGTATGGATGGATTGTAAGTGAATTAAACGTGTTTAATTGCCATTGTTTATGATGAAAGTTGGGTTGTTGGTTAAAGGGTTTGTTTCATGAATTTTGGTTAGGTGGGGTTCAAAATTTTTGTAAATTATTATTATAACACATTTTGAATGTGTTTAGATTTTGAATCGTTCTTCTACTGAATAAAACATAGCTCAACTAACTAGGATCGTTTTTCAAGGAAATTATTTGTTTCTTATGCATACAGAAATAAAATGAAACCTTTATGTATGTAGCTTTGGAAGTGGATGGTTTAGACGTTTACTATTGTGTCGTGATGCTAGAAGTTTTGATGTATGATTGTGGTGGTGAAATCTTTATGCATGCCGTTTATCAGTAGTTTATACATACTTTTTTCTTTTCTTAAGGGTCGTGATCTCTATTTATTGTCCTAAGATAATAGTTCTCGGTCTCGATCTTCTATTAAAATGTCATCTTAACTAGTTGAGTCGTTGTTGTCTATTGTTTGGAGGTGAGATGAGTTTAAAGATGAACCGGTTGTTGCTGTTCCAGTTGTATCCATGCAATTGGAACTGCAAATTGATGTTATTACTGAACAGTGAAACAAGTTTGACAGTGTGGTAAAAAATAAAAAGGGAAACAAAGTGAGTAGTAGTCAGTAATTTCCCTTAAGAAAAGTCATAAAAAGAACAAAAAAGAAGGCAGATTTTTAACAAGGCTTTTGTTTTGATGCCTGAAACTGAAAGTGGACATGGAAGCTGGAAATAGAAACCCCTAAAAGCTGCTGCCTGCTGCATGCAATCCCTAAAGCTGCTGACATGATTTAATCTTATTTAAAATTATAAATATGTTTACAAAATATTATTTATATTGAAATGCTTTATTTATTTATTTATTTATTTATTTATTTACATGTTATTTTAGTTGGATTTAAATGTTGCTTTAATAAAGGAGATGAAATAACATAAATAAAAATAATCGTTCGAAAATTAAAGTATACTTTATATATCAAAAGAAAAGCTGTTTTTAATGTCTCAATTAGGTTAAACTCAGCTTATGAATGCTCATAATCTTTAACTTGAAGATTATGATGGTGACAAATATAGCTACATTAGTCTATTCATAGATCGTTTTCAGTTCGAACACTAAAAAACTTGCTCTTGTTTAATAACTTCTCGATGCACCTTTGTATCTATTGCTTTTATCTGGGTTGATGGACAATTTCGAGATTTTAGATTTGAAACGTTGAGATGATAGGAAAGTGTTGCAAGATATAAGATTGACATTGGGTTCACGAAGCCTATGAGATTGCCCTCGAGCAAAAATGAGAGGAAAAAAAGGAAAACCGAACCAAAAAAGAGGAAGCCACGTAGAGTGGGAGGGAAAAAAAAAAGACCTAAAGAAAAAATATTTGTTGATACTAGTAGGGGTGTACATTCAACCCGACAACCGACATCTCGGACCAACCCAACCCGAACTATAAGAGTTGGGTTGGATTAGCATTTCGGGTAGGGTTGGATTCATTTTTCTGAACCCGAACTGAATTGGTTCGGTTTCAAGTTCGTAGACAAAACCTTCAAGTTGACCCGAGCTAAATAAAAAGATATAAAATATATTAAAAATTTCATATTAATGGATTTGAAAGAGTGGTAACAAGGTTACTCCAAAAACACCCCTGTCTAACTACTAATTATAAATTGTGATAAATAAAACTTAAAACAAAATGGTTAGATTTTTTTTTTTTTTTTTTTGAGAAATGTAAGAAAAAAAAATATATTTTTTCTTATAATTTATATGATATAAAAAATAAGAAAAAAAAAGAGTCGTTCGAGGGGCGGAAAAAGGTTATGAAAGGAAAAATAAATCCTCCGCCGACGGCGGCGAAAGGTGCTCATCCGTTTAGGCTGTAGCTGGCGACCGGCGGAGAAATAGAAGAAGAAGGGATTGTGCAAAATGGGGCTCTATATGCCCTTGTTTAAGTGCAGCACCACCTTGAGAACGCTCACTCAACTCCATGCCCACCTCCTCGTTACTGCCCTTCATAAAGACGCACTTGCTTCCACAAAGCTCATCGAATCATATTCCCAAATGGGCGATCTTCAAGCTTCAAAATCCGTCTTCCGCACCTTCCACTCTCCCGATTCCTTCATGTGGGGCGTGCTTCTTAAATCCCATGTCTGGAGCGGCTCTTACGAGGAAGCCATTAATCTCTATCACCAAATGTTCTGCCAACAAATTCAGTTCAATGCCTACACATTCCCGTCCGTTTTGAGAGCTTGTTCTGGGTTTGGCGATCTGAGTGTTGGTGAAAGGGTTCATGGAAGGGTTATCAAATCTGGGTTTGATATGGATCCTGTTGTGGAAACCTCGTTGCTTAGTATGTACGGGGAGTTGGGGTACTTAGACAGTGCTTGCAAGGTGTTTGATGAAATGCCACTGAGAGATTTGGTGTCTTGGAGTTCTGTTATTTCGTGTAATGTTGGGAATGGAAAGATAATTGAAGGTTTGGATACTTTTCGTTGTATGGTTTCTGAAGGTGTGGCACCGGATTCTGTTTTGATACTCACTGTGGCTGAGGCTTGTGGTGAATTGGGAGTTTTGAGGCTGGCAATGTCTGTTCATGGCTATATCTTGAGAATGGGAATTGCAAGTGATAGGTCTTTGGATAGTTCGTTGATTTTTATGTATGCTAAATGTGGTAGCTTACACAGTGCAGAGATTTTATTTGAGAATGTTACTCACCATAGCACTTCTACTTGGACTGCAATGATCTCCAGCTATAACCAAGGTGGTTACTTCCAGGAAGCATTAGCTGTGTTCGCTTCGATGCGAAACACTGATGTTGAACCAAATTCTGTGACTATGATGGTTATTCTACGTTCTTGTACTAATTTGGGTCTTCTGAGAGAAGGGAAATCTGTTCATTGTGTTGTCATAAAGAACGAATTAGACACTAACCTTGATTGTCTAGGACCGACTTTGCTCGAACTGTACGCCGGGGCTGCAAAACACGATCACTGTGAGAAGATACTTCATGAAGTTGGAGGGAGAGGGATTGTCGTTTGGAATACGCTCATTTCGGTTTATGCTCAAAAGGGGTTGTTGAAGGAGGCGCTTGTTATCTTTGTGAGGATGCAGAAACAAGGGCTTATGCCCGACTCGTTCAGCCTGGCGAGCTCTCTTTCTGCTTCTGGAAATGAAGGTATGTTTCAACTGGGACTGCAAATACATGGTCATGTTATCAAGAGGCCTTTCATGGATGAATATGTTCTGAATGCACTAATAGATATGTACTCAAAATGTGGCTTTGTAGACTTAGCATACATGATATTTGATAAGATGGAACCAAAAGGTGTTGTGACATGGAATTCTATGATCTGTGGGTTATCTCAGAATGGTTACTCGACTAAAGCTATCAGTTTATTTGATCTAATGTATTTGACCTGTCTCGAGATTGGGGATGTTGCCTTCGTTAGTGTGATTCAAGCCTGCACCCATTTGGGTTTTCTAGAGAAAGGGAAATGGATCCACCACAAGGTTATCACCTTTGGTGTTAGAAAAGATCTTTATATTGAAACAGCTCTAGTTGACATGTATGCAAAGTGTGGAGACCTCCAAACGGCGAGGCGAGTTTTCGACAATATGTCGGAGAGGAGCCTAGTGTCATGGAGCACTCTTCTTTCCAGCTATGGTGTGCATGGTCAGATTAGTGAGGTTATCTTCCTCTTTTCGAAAATGCTTGAAACAGGAATTAAACCTAATGATGTTACTGTCATGAATGTTCTTTCAGCTTGTAGTCATGCTGGTTGTGTAAAGGAAGGGATGCTCTTCTTCAGCTCCGTTCGGGAGTATGGAATTGAGCCCAAAATCGAACACTTTGCTTGCATAGTCGATCTTCTTAGTCGTGCAGGTGACCTTGATGGAGCATACAAAATAATCAAATCAATGCCATTTCCAGCACGTGCTAGCATCTGGGGTTCTCTGCTAAATGGTTGCCGAATTCACCAGAGATTGGACATAGCTAAGAACATCCGAAGCGAACTGTTGAACATTCAGACAGATGATACTGGATATTATACATTGTTATCAAATATATACGCAGAAGGGGGAGAATGGAACGAGTTTCGGAAAGTTAGGTCGATGATGAAGTGTACAGGGCTGAAAAAGGTTCCTGCATACAGTGTAATTCAGCTTGGTAAGAAAGCTTACAGATTTGGAGCTGGAGATGCCTCTCACTCTCAAACAAAGGATACACATAGATATATAGATAACTTTCAGAGATTTTCTCAGGAAGAAGTTAATAATGTACAGCCACATTGTTCATCGTATGATACGAGTTCTTATTCAGAATACAACGATTCGTCATCTTATTCTATAGTTTAGATCACCTTCATTGTTCTTATTCCTCGACTCCCCGGGTTTCCGAGCATAATCAATCTCAAAAGAGTACAAACCTTGAGATTCAATGGAATAATGGCTTATTCCAAGCCGTTCTATCGTGTCGACAAGGTAGATAAGTTTATCAGGTCCCTACTGATACCATCTGTGGAGGGTATTCTTTCCTGAAGATCATCAACATCTTCCCCCAAAGAACAAATCAATGATGCAAAGGTAAGTCGACCTTCCGTTTACAGTTTACAGTAACTCGAGCATATCTCAATATATCTAATATTTTTTTAAAAAAATGAAAAAAGAAACCCAGCTAGGTATGGAAGAATCTAACACCAGTAGATCCATCAGTGTAATCTAAGAGAGAGATATACATTGGCTAAACTATCCACTTATCTTATGATATGGTATAGAGTTGTCAAACAGCAGAGATAAACATGTGAGGTCAAGGATTTAAGCTGAAAATTTACAATGGGGAATTTGACAGTCCATTCAAGAAATTGATGACTCTCAACACTATCTCTAAACAAAAGCAATAGCTGCAAGATTACCAGCCTGGACTCTTTGTCGGCGGGGCCGTCGAGTTGTCTTCCCCCATCCTGTCAGGCTCCTTTTGTCGAGTCCTATCTCAGCGTTACTAGGCTGAGGCAGCAGTGGAAGATTCTCAGTTGACTGTGGGGAGGGGCTGACCACTGATCGCCGCCTTCCCCTGCCAGAGGCAGCGTTTCTCAACGAGTTCCTCTTGGTCAAGCCTGG